GATGATGGGCTCAAGTATAGCAGGGATTGTGGGGCTGGCGTGGGATCAGGCAGTGTTTCGTTCTGCTGTGCATGGGGTCGCTATGAGTCGGAAACAACTTGATGGCACTTAACAACAACAACAACAACAACATGGGACATAAAATAACTTAGAGGTATAATATGAACCTATACAGCCATCACCACCACTTGTCTGTCAGTTTGTAGTACTGTTGTGGATTGAGTGTTCCTGTGATATTGTAAGCTGTGCCACTGGTATTTCAATTACCAGCAAGGTCTCCAATGGTGGACAGGTTTCAGCTGAGCTTCCAGACTAAGACAGACTAGAACGAAGGACCTGGGAGTCTACTTCAGAAAAAATTAGACATTGAAATCCCTATGAACAGGAATGAAATACTGTCTGATATACTACTGGAAGATGAGCTCCTCAGATTGCAAGGCACTCAAAATACGACTAGGGAAGTTCTGACTCTTTAAAGTAATTGTTGTTGTTCTTAGGTGCTGTAGAGTAGGCTCTGACTCTAAAACAACCCAATGTACAACAGAATGAACCACTGCCTACCCTGTGCCATGCTCACAATCCTTCCTATACTTGAGCCCAATGTTGTAGTTACTGAGTCAATCCATCTCTTTAAGGGCCTTTCCCTTTTTTGCTGACCCTCCACTTCACCAAGCATGATATCCTTCTCCAGGCAATAGAGCCTTCTGACAACTTGACCAAAGTAGGTCAGACAAAGTTTGGCCGTTCTTGCTTCCAAGGAGCATTCCGGCTGCACTTCTTCGAGGACAATTTTGTTAGTTCTTCTGGCAGTCCATGGTACTGTCATTATTCTTCTCCAACACCACAACTCAAAAGCATCAACTCTTCTTCGGTCTTCCTTATTCATTGTCCAGCTTTCACATGCATGTGAGGCTGCTGAACATACCCTGGCTTGGGTTAAGCACACCTTAGTCTTGTGTACAGATTTGCTCACTGCGATACAACATCTGATTTCTTGACTGCTGCTTCCATGGGTATTGATTGTGGATGCAAGTAATATGAAATCCTTGACATCTTCAATATTTTCTCCATTTATAATGATGCTACTTACAGGTCCAGTTGTGAGGATTTTTGTGTTCTTTATGTGGAGGTATAAACTTCATCAGAAAATGCTTCAAGTCATCTTCACTTTCAGCAAGCAAGGTTGTGTCATCTACATATTGCAGGCTGTTAATGAGTCTTTCTCCAATCCTGATGTGTTCTTCTTCATATAGTCCAGCTTCTCAGATTATTTGTTCAGCATACAGATTGAATAAGTAAGGTGAGAGGATCCAACCCTGATGCACTCCCTTCCTGATTTTAAACCAGGTAGTATCCCCTTGTTCTGTTCAAATAACAGCCTCCTAGTCTTTGTACAGGTTCCTCATGAGCACAATTAAGTGTTCTGAAATTCCCATTCTTTTTAATGTTACCCATAACTTGTTATGATCCACACAGTTAAATGCCTTTGCATAGTCAATAAAACACAAGTAAACATCTTTCTGGTATTCTTTGCTTTGACCGTAGATCCATCTGACATCAGCAATGATATCCTTCACTCAACATCCTCTTCTGAATCCAGCTTGCATTTCTGGAAGTTCCCCATCAATATACTGCAGCAACCATTTTTTAATAATCTTAAGCAAAATTTTAGTTGCATGTGATATGAATGATATTGATCAATAATTTCCACATTCTCTGGAATCACCTTTCTTTGGAATTAGTACAAATATGGATCTCTTCCAGGCAGTTAGCCAGGTAGCTGTCTTCCAAGTTTCTTGGCATAGACAAGTAAGTGCCTCTAGCATGGCATCCGTTTGTTGAAAAATCTCAATGGGTATTCTGTCAATTCCTGGAACCTTGTTTTTGCCAATTCCCTCAGTGTAGCTTCAACTTCTTCATTCAGTACCATCCGTTCTTGATCATATGCCACTTCCTGAAATAGATGAACATCAAACAATTGTTTTTTGTTTAGTGACTGTGTATTCGTTTCATCTTCTTTTGATGCTTTCTGCAGCATTCAATATTTTGCCCATAGAGTCAATCAATATTTCAACTTGAGGCTTGAATTTTTTCTTCAATTCTTATAGCTTGAGAATTGCCAAGTGTGTTCTTCCCCTTCAGTTTTCTAACTCTAGGTCTTTCCACATTTCATTATAATAATTGACTTTGTCTTCTCGAGCTGATCTTTGAAATCTTCTGTTCAGCTCTTTTATCTTGTCATTTTTTTCCATTAGTTTTAGCTACTCTCCATTAAAAAGCAAGTTTCAGAATCTCTTCTTGTGTCCATTTTGGTCTTTTCTTCCTTTTCTGCCTTTTTAATGATCTTTTGCTTTCTTTGTGATGTTCTTGATGTCATCCCACAATTTGTCTGATTTTCAGTCATTGCTGCTCAATCCATCAAATCTGTTTTTCAGATAGTCTCTAAATTCAGGTAAGGTATAATCAAGGTCATATTTGGGCTCTCATGGACTTGTTTTAATTGTCTTCAGCCTCAACTTGAACTTGCATGTGAGCAGGTGCTCCACAATCAGGTTCTGGCCTTGTTTTGGCTGAAGATATTGAGCTTCTCCATCATCTTTTTCCACAAATGTAGTCAGTCTGATTCCTGTGTATTCCATCTGGTGAGGTGCACATGTATAGCCACCGTTTATGTTGTTGAAAAAAAGGCATTTGCAATGAATAAGTCATTGGTCTGTGCAAATTCTGTTATGTGATCTCTGGCATCATTTCCATCACCAAGACCATATATTCCAATTACCAGTGATCTTCCTTGTTTCTAACTTTCACAGTCCAACCACCAATAATCACAAATACATGTTGATTGCATGTTTGGTCAATTTCAGACTGCAGAAGTGGTAAAAAAATTTTCAATTT